GATTGAATAATGCCCTTGATAGGTTTGTAGGTAAAGTGGACATAGTTGAAGGAAGAGTCAGTGAGTTTGAATATAAATAGAATTTAGAAATTACCAAACTAAAATGCTTAAAGAATGAAGAACTGTGGGACAATTGCAGAAGATGTAATATAGTATAGTTGAAATGCCAGGAGTAAAAGAATGAGTCTGGGGCAGGAAAAATATTTAAGTAATGGGCTGAGAATTTTCCAAAATTAATGAGGCACCAAAATTCAGATACAGGAATTTCAAAGAATACCAAACTGGGTAAATAAAAACAGTAAAATTCTACACATAGACATACCATACAAATTACAAAAAAATCAAACACAAGGAGAAAGCATTACAAGAAATCAAAGGTGGATGGGAACAACTACAATGGACAAGGATAAGAATTCCAGTGGTTTTCTCATCAGAAAACCATACAAAAATGAGTGAAGTGTATATTTAAATTGTTAAAAAAAAAAAAAAAGGAAAAATACACCAACCTAGATTTCTGTGACCATTGAAATCATCCTTCAAACATGAAGGAGAAATAATTTTTCAGACAAACAACTGAAAGTATTCATCACATGCAGAGCTGCCCCTCAAGAAATGTTAACAAGAAGTTCTTTAAAAGAAAAGGAATAACAGGTTCCTTTCTTCAACTACATAAGGAAAGGGAGAGCATCAGAACAGGAATAAGCACAGATGTAATTGCTAGTTTCCGCATCAATCCTTGTGCATCTCAGTGTGGTAAATATTCTCACATGTGATACCAAGGTACAGTTTGACCAAGTCAAAAAAGGAATTTTCGCTCATTCTGAAACCAATATATATATATATATTAAAAGATTTATTTATGCTTACAGAACTGGGGTATAGACCAGAGATGTGGTGGGTGAGAGGATTCACCAGAGACACAGAGGGAAGCAGAACAGGCTAGACTGACAAAGTACACTGCTGAGGGTAGAAGTGGGCGGGTCAGAAGAGGTCTACCGAGTCATGTGGGTCAGCTCCCTGGCGGAGGATTGAACTTGTGCTGCAGTGGCTTCGAAGAACTTCATAATGCGGTGCTTTAACCTGTTGTGCCACCAGGAAGAGCCCTGAAACCAATATTTTATTAAAATTATCCACCAAAAGTACTCAAGGGTCACATCTATAAAATCTGATATATTTTTAT